TATTCTATTCTATTCTATTCTATTCTATTCTATTCTATTCTATTCTAGTCAACTCTATTTCGTCAGAGGCTTACTAGGCAAAACTTATTAGTATGGCAAAAAAGATGTTTTGATTGCAGTTATTGCTGGCTACATTCAGGAGAAGTTATTAGAGAATCGGGGCACTGGGTTACTGCAGAATTCATGCATTAAATTAGAAGTCAGAAATTGCATGTTCCTTGGCTACAACAAATTCTGAAATCTCTCAACATTATTTTATTTCTTCTTCTTTAAATATTTAAGTCCACCCCAACTTTATTGTGATTCTTTTTAAAATCAAACCAGAAATCAAATCCAGTTTGAGTTCTGTGTTGCTTTCCTTCAGAGTGAATGAAAGAAGAGGACAAAACATTTCTCAGATGGGCTGACATAATTACATTTTTCATAATTCACTTACATAATACATATGTTAAATTAGTATAATTACAAAACGTTCTAATTTCCAAATTAGTAAAAAAAACAATTACAAATCAAGGATAGCATTTAGTCTCAAGGCAGAATTTCCCCCATCTTAATGGCATCAATTTATTTCATTCTGGGTTTGTGTATGCATGTGTGTCCATAAATAGATATACACACACAGTCCTACACACACATCAACACTTCTTCCATGTTCATGCAGTTTAACACATGCAAAATATAAGCAAACCAAGTATCATGGATATATTTGTGAGCCAAGTTATAGGCATGCAAACTCACTCAACTACTAATTTAGCTTGCCTTTTCTGATTTCATCTCTGTATGGAATAGATGAAATCATGTATTAGTAATTGTTTGAAATCTACAGATTTCAAATATTTCATTCAGTTTGTTAATAAAGCATGCATAAGTTATTAAGATGTCGGTTAAAAATAGACAAATTTAGAACATGGGTAATATTACGAACTGTTTATACAAAATGTGTATATTGTGCAAATTTGCAAACAAAACTAAATGAGCTTGGAGATGGACAGTATAGAATTACATGTATTGTTTGCAGCAACATTTTTTTAAATATGAAGTCCAATTTGCAAAAAGAAGAAACTGAGAAAAAAAAATGAAATTGATATTCACCATCTATCATGAGGAATAAAATGAGGAATTCCAGTGCTCTTAATCAAAATGTTTCAGGCCCAAATATGAGATGGCCATACAGGGATCCTCAATTTATGACCTCAATTGAGACCAGAAATTTCATTGCTTAGCAAGGAGTTGACAGTCACTCCCAATTTTATGACCTTTGTTGCCATGGTTATTAAGCAAATCACCGCTTTTAAGTGAATTATGTGGTCACTAAACAAATCTGGCTTCCCCATTGACTTCGTTAGTCGGAATCGTGCTGGAAAAGTCACAAATGGCAATCACAGTAAATATGTATGTGGTAAATACAGGTAGTCCTGGACTTATGACCATAACTGAGCCCAGAATTTAGGCTGCTAAGTGAAAAAATTGTTAAGTGGGTTTTGCCCCATTGTATGACTTTTCTTGCCACATTTGTTAAGTGAATCATTCATCATCATCTTTTAATGACTCCTTAATCCCTTACGGGATGGAGTCTGGACAACTGAATGGAGCTGAGTGTTTACTGGCCGGATGCCCTTCCTGTCACCAATGTGGAGTTATATTCAGCAGATATATTCTCATCGGGCCCAGAGGGAGAAATATCTGCCTCTACCTAAGATCAAACTCACAGCTTCCTGATTGTGAGGTGAGAGCTACACCTCTAGGCCACTGCGCAACTCTCTGTTAAGTGAATCACTGCAGTTGTTAAATTAGTAACCTGGGTGTTAAGTGAATTTGGCTTCCCCGTTGACTTTGCTGGTGGAAGGTTGCGAAACAGGATCACATGACCATCATAAATATGAACCAGCTGTCAAGCATCCGAATGTAAATCATGTGATCATGGGGATGTTGCAAAGGTTATAAGTGTGAAAAACGGTCATACGTCACTTTTTTTCAGTGCTGTTGTAACTTCAAACAGTCACTAAACGAACTGTTTTTAAGTTGAGGACTACCTGTACATCCTGCTTGCAAAGGGTCCAAATTTGATCACAACCTGTGGGGATGCTGCAACCATCATAAATGTGAGTACCCGCCATAAGTCGCTTTTTTTCAATCCCCTTCTAACTTCAAATGATCGCTAAATAAAGGGTTGTAATGTTAAGAGCAACAGTCAGATCTGCCCGACTTAATCTCACCTCGTTCGCTCTTATAAGGAAGCAGTATAAAAAAACAAAGGTGAACTATTAGCTGAACAGACCACTAATTGTGAATTTTTCCCTCTTCCTTCATTCCTATCTCCAGCTTGAGAAAACTATACCTGTAAAATGCATAGAGGACAAGGAGATTTCCTATAATTCCAACACAACCAATGGCCAGAACACAAGAGCCTACAGTGTATAGGACATGGTCAGGAACATCCACTTTAGTCAGGCGACCACTTGCCGTAGTGTGGTTCTGGAAGTAAAATAGCAAAAGAACAAAGTATTATTAAATTAAAATTATTACTGGTTTGTAGAGATTCTCAGTCACCCAGGTCATGGAAATGGACTTTCTTGTTTTTTTCTTTTGAAAGCATTTTGCTTCTCATCCAAGAAGCTTCTTCAGCTCTTCCATTCCCCACTATCCTGTCAGAGCTGAAGAAGCTTCTTGGAGGAGAAGTAAAAAGTCTTCAAAGAAAAAACAAGAAAGTCCAGTTGCCTCCTGAAAACAGCACCTTTGGGACATTATTACTGGTTCAGACATTTAATGTTGTATACATACATAGATAGATACATATATACACACAAACACACATACACATTAATAGAAGAGTATATGCATTCCAATAGAAGACTCTGAGCCAACCAATGCTCTATTTCCATGATCAAATCTTGGAACATTTAATTAACCAGACCTACTAGCAACCTTGGGTACAATATATTTCACTATACACAGAAGTGAGATTTTGAATTATTTTTCTTAACAAGGACAGATATTGTATCAGTAGCAAGGAGCATCCCAAGTCCAATAGCAATAGCACTTAGACTTATATACCGCTTTACAGTGCTTTACAGCTCTAAGCAGTTTACAGAGTCAGCCTATTACTCCCACCAATCTGGGTCCTCATTTTACCCACCTTGGAAGGATGGAAGGCTGAGTCAACCTTGAGCCTGATGAGATTTGAACTGTCAAATTGCAGGCAGCCGGCAGGCAGCAGAAATACTCTGCAGTACTGCATTCTAACTGCTGCGCCACCCTGGCTCATCAATTATCCCACCAATCAATTATGGAACCTCCCAACTAGATGCTACAGTGACAAGGACTGAAAAGGAGTAAAATATTCTCTGGAAATATCATCATATTTATATGGTTGGGTTTTTTTTCCCTAGCAGAATTCAACTGCTCAGCGATAAGATAGAAATGATTTTTTAAATTTTTTTTCTTTGCCTCATTGTGGTGGACAAGTCAGGCCAATGTGTCGTTTCTGTGAGACACCCTCATATTATTCAACACTGAATATCACAGCTGATCGATTAGTTGCAAATCTGTTGCTTGAGCCTGTTGACAGTTGGTCTGTGTTCATCTCAGCAACCACCTTGCAGGCGGGCAGCTTCCAATGGCATCAGCAAGGTACAGTAGGCTCACTGCCTCATATTCTGATTATGAATTTGAAGGTTGTGTTTCTGTAATTCTTTGGCCCACGAAAAGCAATATGAGGTTGGTTGTACATTATAGGGGGAATGAGGAAGAGCTTCATAATTAATGCAGAAAACGAATTGATAGAAAATGACCGTTTACGTGTTTCGTGGGGCTAAAAACCACTTTTTTTAACCAAGATGTTGAACTCTATTTTTAAGGGGAAAAGGATCTCAAGGAGAAAAACTGCTAGTAGAAAATTTTGAAGGACAAGAAGCTGGGAAGAAAATGGTACTGCACCACAGAAATTCTCTCACTGTCTCATCTTCTATTCCTTCTGGGACCCATCATGGAACTACAGAATTTATTACTTTTTCTTTTTAGCACTTCCCGCAAAGTGTAAAAATTGGCAGAACTAAGTCTTTTGCAACAACTGGTTCTTCCTCACACTGGTAAAAACTGAGTAACACTAGCATTATGAGCCACAATAGTCAAGTAATAATTGAGACTTGCCAGAGGACAGATATTTAGGGATTATTATTGTTTAGTTAAATAATTAATAAAAACATTTCTATATTGCTTCATTTCTTGTAGCAAATTCCAATGCTGTTTATCAAGTATAAATTTATTGTGAAATAAAAATAATAAATATAAGATTAGTGGGTGGTGAAGTGATTTTGGAAAGCTAAGCAGGTTCAAATCGAACAATACAGTAGGGAATATCAAGGCTGTAGATTAGCATCCAGGAAGCCAATGTCAAGCCACTTCCATTTTTTTGCCAAGAAAATAACACAGCTGTGTCCATATGGTCACAAAGATATGGGAGTGATTGGACAGAATTTTTACCTCTTTAAACAAAACTGAAGTATGGTGTAGTGCACAGGTAAAGTCATTCCCTAAGGATCCCCAATAAAGGCATTCATAGTCTACAGAAAATGAACTCTATCAAAATTCAACGATTCCTACTGAAATTGTTCCAGTGATAAATTATGTTTGTATTTTAGCCAAGAACACAAACAAAATGGTCCATTAAACAAATCAAATCAGAGTTCCCATACATGCTGTACAAATTATACTTTGGATGCATTTTATGTGTCATTAGAGAAGAATATAATGCTATGAAAGGTGATAGGAAGGAGAAAAAGGGGACATACAGAAGAGGTGGAAGGGCTCAATTACAGAAATGCAAGGTAAAGATCTGAGCATCATGGGGACATATCCTCCTGGACAAAAAAAATAAAGAAAGAATGAAAAAAGTGAAGGAAGGAAGGAAAGGAGGAAGGAAGAAAGAAAGAAAGAAAGGAAGAACAGGAAGAAAGAAAAAAATCTGTCTATCTGTCTGTCTATCTACCATAAACCAGTAATCAATCAATCAATCAAACTGATGGTATTTTTACTCCCTGTAAAGATTGGTAATTGTGCTACACTGCTATTTTATAATGATCTTTTGTTCTAGAACAGTGGGGTGAACAGTTATCACTATATTATGAAGAAGAGAAGTTTGGAACATAATGATACTTAAACGCAATGCTTGAATATATTACTAAGAATGTACACAGGGAAAAATACTCTTTCTCCACTTGAAATAATATCAAAGTACTTCTGGAGAGTCAAAATCCAGAAAAGGGATATAAAGTTACCCAAGAACAAGGGTCTTACTACCTTAATATGTCTCAAAATAGAGAGAAAAATAAAATCCATGAAAGAAACCCAAACTGTTTGTTGTAACAGTTTGCTTAATATATGTTAGTAAACACATCCTCAATCGACCATCTGTTACTGTTCAGTCCAAATGTCATTTGCCCATTAAAGAGTTTAATAATACATTCGACGTCTTATATAAGCTACAAATCCCATTCATTTTCTTCCTCATGGAAAAATTAAAAAGCTATTGAATGGCATACTAAACTTGAATGTGGATTAGTATTTCAAAACTGGATAGAATTTTGTTTGGATTAAACTAAGGCACTGTTTCGGTTTCATTGTTGAACTGGCATAATGTTTCTATTTTTAGATTAACCTCCCTAATGCTTAAGAAAAGTATGGCAAGAAAACAATTTATGGAAGTTAAAGACTTTCAGTTGCATATGAATATATTGTGAAGAGAAACAGATAAAGTTAAGCTGCAATCCCTGCTTTGGTGTAGAAAACATATAACTTATATGTCCTAAATATTTCTGCTTGGTGGTGATCAAACAGAACAGCTCAATTTATGTAACTAACATTATCTCATAATTCCTGGTACACTGACACACATAAATTAATATTTTGAGTCACTCTTTAGATTTGGTTGACAGTAGTATATGGCAGCTTTATATAAGCATGATTGACACCAAAGCATTATGGAACACAGAAGTGAATAATGTAAATACTGGTACCAGCTAACAGACCCTATAAGTTTGTGTTGCTGGATTTCTTTTTCTGTAAACACACAGACATTTCCTACCTAGCTACTCAGGGAGCAGCAGACATAAAATGGTATTTTGATTTTGGTAACTAAAAAGTTGGAGCTTCCAACAAAATGTTGCATGCAACTGTCCAAACCATTTGGCGATAGGGGTGCATGTACACGAACATTTACAGTACATTACAGAAAAAAAAAAGTCACACACCTCCCCCAGACTTAAACAAAATTAGTTTGTTCAAAGAGCTAGATCAGGAGTGTCAAACTCATGTCATCACAGTGGCGTTATGTGACGTATTGGGACTTTCCCCCCCCTTCGCTAAATCGGGTGTGGGTGTGGTCAGCATGTGACGCATCTGGCCCGTGGACTGGGAGTGTGACAACCCTGGTCTAGATGACCTGTAGGAAAATCCTTTTAGCGTTCTTGGATTAAGACAAACAGAATGGCTTCCAGAAAAATTAGGACTGGAACATGAATAACTTTTCCTTAATCTTCACTGTTCTATATAACCCTTTCCACCCACTTATAACCTCTCCATATCAAGTGTTACAGAACAGTTCTTAATCTACTTCTGGAGATCTTGGTGGGGCCCAACAATGGTATTTCTTTACTCTTACTTATGTCCAAAATTCTAATTACCTCCCTTTTATTCCACAAAGAGGTATCTGAGGCTGCTTGTTCCTGGCCTACTTGTTATCTGTGTAATCAAGGCTACCTGCTACACTTTCTTTACAATCAAGATGCTGTGTAATCAAGGCTACCTGCTACACTTTCTTTGCAATCAAGATGCTGTGTAATCAAGGCTACCTGCTACACTTTCTTTGCAATCAAGATGCTACCTGTTGTTCAGCACCACACAGAATAAATGTCGCCATCTTCATTAATCTTTGATGTTCTGAACTGCAGGAATGGCCAGGCCTCTCTACTTGGAAGTTGATGGAGTGTCTCGCCATTCCTTCCCTTCCTTCCCTATTGCTCTTTGCCTGAGCAACGTATCGTATCGCTTTCTCCAGGCCATATTCTGCATTTTCCAATTTCATTCTTGTTAGCTAGGTCTTAGCTTGTTGCATTGTTTGGCTCCCCAAAGCTCCCACACTAAGTGGGCCGGTGAAAGTTATATTTTTCAAACCAGCAGGGGGAGAAAATGAAGCTCATCTAGAAGATCCTTGGAAAGGAAACTGAGAAGAAGGCAGCCAAATTCATTTCCTTTATCTATTCCACTGCTATTCCCACATAATCCTTCAACAAATCCAAGATAATTTCTTTCTGATTGCATCTCTGGGTCCCTGATGAGGCAAAGGTAGAATTCTGATTCAGACAGTTATCCAAGCCATTTTTATAGCTCTGATTCCAAAGAGGTGTTTCTATCCAATTTGACATGAATTGAAAGCATAACTTGTTCATTTAAATTGTTTCTTCTATATTCTGAGTCAAATTTGATAAAATGTACTCTCTCGGTTGTTTTCTCTCTCTAAGGGTATATAATTTAAAATCCTGTTGTTTTTTAAAAAGCAGCAGCAGGTTCAGAAATGAGCTAATTTGTGTTTTTTACCTCAGAGAATATTTAGGGTAGAACACTGAGTCTGAAACAATCTGAAATCACACACTGGACGCAAGATAACAAACTGACAGCAGCAGCACATGCAGCTTAAAAACTAAATCTGTCCTAATGTAGAGCTTAATGTTCAATAATGGGGATGGAAGGCAGGAGGGAGCAGATTGGGGACCTGCTTACGCTCAAATACATCTCTAAACATCCATCCCTAAGCTAAATACTACGTATAATCTCTCAGCCTGCATATAATGAATTAAGAAAGAAGAACTGCATGAAAAAGACAGCAACAGAGAGGAGGGGGAAAGGCTAATAATGTGATAATCTCCCATACCTTCTACAAAGTCTGAAGGAGAGGCTCTCCTATTTCTTGGAATAATCAGTGATGCAAAAGTATTTGGGACACAATGACTGCTTTCTCTGCATGGCAGAACTCCAAGAATGAGAGTCTCTCCTGTAACGGATTCAGTTAACTTCCTTGCTTTTTCACTCCACCATCTGGTCAGGAGAGCATTTTTTCAGGCATACATTAAACAGCCTGAGTTTTATTTCAGCTGACTTGACTGTTTAATTTATTTTAATCTGCTGCACTGATTTTTCCCCTCATTTCAACAAACCGGCTTTAATTATTTTATGGGTGTTCTTGTACTTGGTGTTGCTAAATCCATTTATCATTCTTTCCATATCTGATGGTAACTACTAGACCTCTATGGACTTCTCTCTCTGCCTCATTCAAGCATTGTCTGTTGCAACTAAACTGACAATATAGAAAAGGAGGACTTGCCTAAAAAGCAAAGTAATTCCACAAATGACTCAATCATTGCTTATTAAATAAGTTAAAATTGTATTGCAGTAACCTATAAAGCTGATTTATGAGTGACATAGGCTAGCCTCTCATAAAATATTGTTCAGAAACTATCACAATAAGGAAGATTAACCACAATGAAGCAACTCATATTTTCACTTAATGAGTACATTAAGTATCCTAACCATATTATTTATATGAAATTAATCCATAAACCCCACAAAAATCTGGATTGTCTTCTGCAACCTGGTACCAAGAAGAGAAAAAAGCTGAGTTCTCAGGGGGTACCTGGAAGGTTAGTGTAAACTATCCTACATGTGGCTATGTTATGCATAACTTTGTTTATATCAGAAATAGGACAAGACTGTTATCTGGGGACAGGGAAATAGAATAATTATAAGGGTCATTCATAAGTGCACCGTCATGCCTCCCGTCCCTGTCCTATTGTTCCCATTTTATTGTACCTATTTTCTGTATTCTTACTCATGTTTATACTTATACCTATTATTTTGTAAGCAATTGACAAATCAAATAAACAAAATAAAATAAATAAATTCTACTCTGTAAATAGCTGCTGAGAACCAAACAAGTGTTGGTTGATCAAAACTTTAGTTTATTGAGGACTGATTTAGATGAAGTCAAGATAAAGAGAAAGTGATGGAGAGACTAAATTAGCTATTTGTTGAGCAGGCACAAAAATAAGGTTGCGTGCTGAACTATATAATTTTTTTACACCGGGGTGGGAACTTTCCCACTTTTCCAATCTTAGATTTCAGTGAGCTACCATATTGGCTAGTAGGCTGTGGCTGGCTAAAGAAATCCTGAATTCTTCTATCTCAGGGCTATCAAACTCCCGGCCCGCAGGCCAGATGTGTATGTGCTGACCAGACCCATGCCCAGTTTAACGAAGGAGGGGGGGAATCTCAATACATCACATGGCACCACCATGATGACGTGAGTTTGACACCCCTCTTCTATTCTATCTGAATAATTCTGGGTGCCTTTGGCATATAGGCAATGACCATGAAGATAAGCATCTCACCTTAGAGTTGTACACAACTGGACAGGAAACCTTGTTTTATATTATTCTGCCTGGTGTATGCTGCAAGTCACATAGGTGTAATAGCTGTATAGCAGCTGTCACCAATGCCATATCACTTTGGAGAAGATTGTTATATAATGATTATTTATAATGGTACAAAACAATAATAGGAGTAAACAATTAGTATAGGGCAGTCAGTTCTAATGTTTATCATCTGGTGTATGTTATATTTCAGAGAACAACCCTATTAGCACAGTTACCATACTAAAATACACGAGGAAGTGGATATAATATGAAATTACAAAAGTTATTAAAATAATTTAAACATCCAGTAATATATATTAATCACTGATAGGCACATACTGGCACAGATTATGATGGAAAAATTTCCCAAGATACCTACTATTTATAGTTTGGATAACAGAGCAATGTTTATATATATTAATTAGTACTTAGTTAGTTCTGTCATAATTTTATCAACAAAAAACAGAAAGGCAGATTTTGTTCAACTCTTTATTTTTCCTGTTTGCTTCTGATTAAAATTTTAAAAAGTAAATTATAATAAAATTTGAAAACATTGCTTCTAATTACACAGCTAAGATGGAACACTTGAAAGATTCTTTTTTTTTTAAAGAAAATTTTAGGTAGCTCTCAGAGATAAAAGATTTTTGAAGACAAATACACAATGCCAGAAAAAATGCATAGTAGTTGCAATGCATTTTGCAAGTAAATGCTATACGAAGCATTGCATGGTCCTAATAATTTTTCTAACAATTTCTGAAAACTGAAAGCCGGTATGCTACAATGATTAGAGTTAGATTAGGATTGAAGAGTTCTAGATTCAGTTCTATCTTCAGCCATGAAAGTGCACTGGGTGACTTTAAGCCAGACAATCTTCATCAGATTGTTGTTGGCAGACAGTTTGGAGGAGAAAATGGTACATACATATGCTACCTTGAACTCCTGGAGGAGCTAATAAATAAATAAATCGCTACATATTATTTTGTCTCTTTCAAGACCAAATTATTTAAATGTCTGTAGAGTTAAACTGAGCTGAAAAGGTACCATTGTGACAAATATTTTAAATGTTTTTGAAATATACCATAACCTTAGTAAAGGTTTGGCAAGTTCCCATGAGATCTTTCTGAACAAGAAAAACACATGAGCGTACTGTGGTCTGCTGAATTTGCAATTGGCTGTAACAAATGCATCCAAAGAATGCTTGTAAATGGTTATGCTTTGAGTGGAATCTCCAGGGATCTTGTCCCAAAGCTATTCTGCTTTATTAGATATTTATAAGTAAACTACAGGATGGAGCTGAACTGAAGGGATAATGAAATGAAAAGGATAGAGATAACCTAAACTAGGAGCATTGGCTAACACGTAAGAGGCAAAATCAAAATTTAAAATTATCTCTGTATGCATGGGCACTACCTCAAATTAATAGGGTGATATTATCAAGGTCCTGCATCTGAGCAAGACAGATATAGGACTAGAAATGTGACCTTGGAATGTTGTGTATATATTCTGAGTCCCATCATTGAAAAGGAAATGTGTGAACAAGTTTAAAGATGGACATATTTTTTTAAAAAAAATCTGGAAACCAAGACTTTTGAATTAAAGGTTCTATCTATCTATGTATGTATGCATGTATGTATCTACCTACCTACCTACCTATATTTTGCTTGAAAAAGAGACTAAAATGGTGACATGATAATGGTCTACAAAATATCGAAAAGAATGTAGTGAGTAAAGAGGAGAGCAAGCTTATTCTCCTCTGAAAATGAGGGAAGAGGAAAGGCCTTTTTAAAAATGGAACATTGAACTAAACATTAGAAGAAATTTCCTGATTATGAGTTCTTAAGCACTAGAACAATCTGTCTTGCACAGGGTGGAATCTCCTTTAAGGCTTTCAAATGAAGGCTGGGTAGCTGTGGATACTTGATATTGACATTTAATGTATTTCTGTGTGGAAGAAAAGGCGGGACTGGGTTATGTATCAAATCCTTTTAACACTTTAATACAACCAATTCCAAGTCTGCAACATGCAATGAAAGCTTTTGTAGGAAAAAAAAGTATTGCTACTCTAATTCCCAGTTCAGATAAGGACCAAAAATAGTACGTTACACTCTGGGCAATATAACTCTCCTGGAAAGAAAGGGCAGTAGACTGGAATCTACTTCCATACCATTCATTGCAATGACAGAAGAAATGCCAAAAGATGTAAGCCTACATCTTACATACAGCTGTCTACATAGAGCCATGGTGGTGTAGTGGTTAGAATGCAACGCTGCAGAGCTAACTCACTGGTCACTCCAGGAGTTTGATCCTGATTGACTCAGTCTTCCATCCTTCCAAAATCGGTAAAATGAGGATTCAGATTGTTGGGGCAATATGCTGACTCTGTAAAGCGCTTAGAGAGGGGCTGGAAAGCACTGTGAAGTGAAATATATTAGTCTAAGTGCTAGTGCTATCTTCCAGTAATTTTTAAAATGAGGTGTGTTAGGAACAATAGTCACCTAACAGTTGGGTTGGCAATATATAAACCAAGATAGTCATTTAATACTGTTATATCTTTAAGAGATTGCTGTAGTTGTGATTGGCTCAGGTTCCTCCAATGGCCATAAGATGGAGCCAGAAA